TTGGAGCGGGGCGGTTCGAGTGCGCTTTGGGAAGTCGTGTTGCGACACCGGCGCACAGAAGGGTGGCCCGGTACTGATATCGCCGATTACAGCTGCGTAGGTTGCGCTAACGGGGGACTTAGTACAGCTGTGCTCCCGCCGAGGGCACAGCAGCTCTGCTGTCTTTTAAGGCACTTTACATGGGATCTAGACTTGTGCACTTAACCAGGCTCACGTTTTGCATTCGCGCCGTGAAGAGGTGGTGTAACATAACGTGTGTGGATCAAACTGTTTGTCGCCTAAGCATATCCCTTCAAGCCCTGTCTAGTTTTAGTATGTGGAGCTTATTTTTTGCATTTCTGCCAGTGTTAAAACTGAAACTAATGTGATACGCTTCCTCTTTGTAGTGAAGGCAAGGCCTGGTCTTTATGACAGTTTGGAGAGGCCAACCTTTTTGGCAAGGGGAAATGGGTAAATGTGGTGTAGTTCCAGAGACGGTGGTGGACAGTTTCTCATGACTTTATATAGTTCTTGGATGTATTTTCAGCATAGCTTTAAAATATAGCAGAGAAAAAAGATTCTGATACCATGGATTTACTTTATTTTTGTTGTGTGAAACTGTTGAGCTATCTGCTGTGATGCAGTTAAAAATTGCAGTTTCTGTTCATTGCTGAGAAAAATCTTTGCTAAATCGCTGATTATCTTGAGAACTCCTGTACCGCAGTGTGAGAAGAGGAAGAGTTCTACTGGATTTCCCATAGTCCCTGGACCCGGTGCTTGGCCCATGACCCAAGCACTGTTTTAGAAAGGATAAAAGAGGGAGCAAAATCCCATCGCTGCAGACAGACATGTCCAGACAAGGCTAGATTTGTTTCGCTGAGCAAACAGTTGCTTACCTCCGTGCTGGCCACCTCTCCACCAAGGATTTGCCTTCAGAGCAATAGTCTTCTGCTCTTGGCTTGTCTAGTTTCCCTTGTTTGGCTATAGCTGGCAGTAACTCTGTGCTGAAAGCACAATGAGAGAGTGTTAGAGCTGTAATCAAGTTAATAACATTATTACCTTTTTTATTATTCTTGTTAAAATTATATCGTAGGAAATAAGTTAACTATAACAAAAAATGCATTTATTTTGGTTTCTAGTGAAGCTGAGACATACTAGTTTTATGGATTCCTAATTACCAAGTGCATGATTGAAGTATTTGCTGAGGGAAAAGCCTTGCTCTGTACAGAGCACGAATGAAGTGTGCAAGGGGATATGCTTTTCATTTACATGCATTCAGTCCTCATCACATTCTTAACATTACGGTGTTCATAAAAGGTACCACCTCCATTGGATTGTGGGTTTAGTATGATCTCACAGAAAGAGACTTCATTAGCTTAAACCTCCCATGATAAAAGCTTAAATAGTTCTCTTCTTTTTTGTCATTACAACTTAATCTTTGCCTGTGAATCATGCTAAATGCAATTTTTAAGAACAAGGTCTCAAAGGAGAAAAATACATGTTTAGCTCAGTTTGATCACAAGTTATTGCTGGGTAGGAAAATATTGGTTAGTTTGAAAGGTGAAGTGCAATTATAATTGTGTAATTTTACCAAAAAAAAAAGGTATACAATAATAATTTTCCTCTTTAAATATTACAGTATGTTTAGTATGTCATCACCCTCTTTCTGTCCTGGTAACTGCTTAGTTCAATTCATTGGTTCAAATGAACTGGTCTAAAATCGGTGTATTATTTCAAAAGTGCTAATTTCTATGACTAAATTTTGTTTCAGCAATTACATTAAATATTTTGGTGGTTTATATTTTGACAGTTTAATAAGCAGATATAGCGGAAGTGAAATAATAATATAATTTCTCATCTTAAAGTATTGTATCATGACATTGTGAAAATAAACTGAGGAAAATACATTTGATAATAGACTTGTCACAGTGGCAAAATAGTGCTGTTATTGCAGAGATGTTAAAAAACGGCTGTTCTGACAATCTTGTTGTCAGAGCTTTGGATTGCTATGTGTTAGCCTAACTTTAATGTTCTTTAAAAGGTCGTCAGTGAAAAGTGGAGAAATGGCTAGATTGACCCAGTTTGTTGACAATGAAGTCTTCCGGGCTTTCGCTACTTACGCAACTATTGTTCTTCTAAAAATGATGCTTATGAGTGTTACAACATCATACTTCAGACTCACAAGAAAGGTAAGAAATTGGGAATACTATCTGGTAGAATAGATTGAAATTTGTACTGAAATAATATCATAAGTACTCAGCTGTCAAATACTGGTGCTGTTCCTTCTTTCTCATCCCTTCAACAATGTTCTGAGTTTGGTGTGCTGGTGCTTTGTTGGTCTCAAATGGACGACATCTTTAACCTAATTATGATATAATTATGAGACTGTATCTTACAGTTGAATTTGACTTACTCCGCCCTTATAAAACATTTTTGTTATTTTTAAATAAGAATTTTTCATAACTTTAATTTCCACCATCTTCTGAAAAGCTAGTGTCCAGGATACACAGTTTATAAAGCAAAGCGTGATATGCAACCATGTTACATGGATAATCAAATAGTAGGTTCAGAAGTGGATTTTTATGCATCTATAACCCTTTCATCCAGTAATTCTAAAGCTCTTTACATTCCCTAGTTGTTTTATCCTTCCCATTGCAGGTGAGTCAATTATCTAAACCAAAAAAATTTTTTAATAGAATGTGAGCAGGGTAAAAGTTTATGTGGATTGATGTGTAGGCTGTATAAATATATGAAAGATCTACTGAAGTTTACTAAGTAATGCAAAAGCATCAAATAATTGCACCTAGCTTTGGAGAGGGTGCTCATGGGAAGCATGGTGCTGTGTTTGACCTGTTCTTGTTCTTCTCTTGGCATCTGCTCATGGCCACTGATGGAAACACTTGGTCCTGGGCTGAAAGAGCCCAGAGTTTGCCTGTTATGGCTATTCTTGTGAGGTGTGGTTCTGTGAGACAGCATGTGCTTCAAGGATTTTGTTGCAGTCCTTTTGTTTGTCCTTTTGCTGTTTTGTTTTGTTTTTTTTTCCTGCTGGATACAAGAGAACCCAAATGAACTGTTCTGTTGTTCACGAGGTCCTAAGACCTCATTACTATTACTGGGTCCTGATAGCTCTCTAGGTCTTTGAAACAGCTGGAGACTGGATATTGTAGAGCACACAGTGTGTCCTTTATGTTCAGAATAGGACGCAGATGTCTCTGTTTTAACCTTGCTTTTGCTCTTGCAGAAGCACATAAGCTGTACTGGTCCTATATGTAGATCCAGTCATGTCCTGTATTAACACTTGTAACCAAGTTATGATAAATATGTATGTAGGTGACAGTAGGGCCTTCCTTAATTGGAAGTACTTGGTTTTCTTATGACAGACAGTAATACTACAAACAGAAAAATTAGTAAAGTCATTTCCTAGGTAATACTAAAAAGTCTTTAAAATGTTAAGACAAAAGGAGGAAAGCAGGTGGCGGAGTGAGAAAAGGTAAAATGTTGCTGATACTGATACAGTTAATATGTCTCAAGAATTTTGAGGCCAAGGATATTTCGCAGGAAGGCATCAAGGCTGCCTCAGAAAGCAATCATGTAGCTCGCCTAAAATCAAAAGTTTTGTTGACTTACGCTTGCATAGCCTGAACGGTCCACAGAATGCACGTGTTACTGCATGGGTCAGCAAGGAGACATCTACTGACTAACCAAATTAAATACTGTTTTCAAGTAGTGTCTTACAGTATTTGGAGGTAGTAACAGGTCATACAAGTAGAAAAAAAGGTACCTAAGAGAAAAGGAAGAAACTTATGTGGTCATAAATGAAGATGAGAGTAAGTCTCTCAGATGCTATTGCTGTGTAGACTTCTGAAGAAGGAAGGGCTCCAAAAAGGCTTTCAGATAACTTGTCAAGAATAGTGAAAAAGAGACTTAGGTAGCATAGACAGTAGTTCTTCCGTTCAGGTCCCTATGTTCCTTCAGCCCATTGGCATTACTTCAGGCTGTGTATCAGTCATCTGCAGTGCTTGTTGATCTTACAAGAAGGCTTTATCTACATGCATAAATTACATTACATTAATTTGTCAGCACACAAGCTGTGTACAGGCTAGGCTCAAGAAAACAGTAGTGCAGTGAACAGTATATCATTCCCCAGGCATTTAGCTTCAGGTAAATTATGTGAGGTTATAGAAGCATTAGTAAAAAGAGTGACCTTTATAGCAAGCTGTCTTGACTAGAAGAAACATTCTGGCTACTAATGTCTCTTGTGTGTTTGTATTTGAAATAGGCCTTTGACAACCTAGAAGATACAGTATCATTTGGAACAGGTGAAACTGCTAAAAAACTTGTGCGGACTCATCCAGATGTCGATCGTGTACGCAGGTAATGCATGGGAGTCTTAAAAATATATTTTAAATAGCAGAATAGTACTAAATCAAGGAATTAATTTCACCGCATTCTCTTTGGCAAGCCTGTGTCTGTTTTGTGTTGCCTTATGCAGTAATCTAATACATTAATTTGTTTAAATGAAAAAAAAATTTACACATTCAAAATAATAATACTAAAAATAATAAGTCATTAATCATCGAATCCTAAAATGGTTTGGGTTGGAAAGAACCTTAAGATCATCTAGTTCCAACCCCCCTGCCCTAGGCAGGGACTCCTCACACTAGACCATGTCTCCCAAGGCTCTGTCCAGCCTGACCTTGAACACTACCAGGGATGGAGCATTTACCACTTCTTTGGGCAGCCTGTTCCAGTGCCTCACCACCCTCACAGTAAAAAACTTCTTCCTTATATCTAACTTGAACTTCCCCTGTTTAAGTTTAAACCCATTACCCCTTGTCCTTTCGCTACAGTCCCTGATGAAAAGTCCCATTCCATTCATGAATGAAGCTCACAGTTTATTTCCTATATATATTTTTATACTAAAAACTTGAATGTAAATGAACTGTTCTTATTTAAACCACTGTTAGGGAAGATCTTGAAAATAAGTGTTAGCTCTCGTTTAAGAACAGTGAATCCTTCAAATGTACATGACTGCGGTTTCATGAAGGCTGGTAATTTATGTCTCTTTTGGAATAAAATTACAGAAAGAAGATTCTAATCTCAGTGGGATGTAAAGATGCTTTGAACTTTCCTTTTCTTCCCCAGAGTGGTTCAGGGAGTTGTTAGTTGTTTAATTTGGTGGCTGTTATATGAAATCGGGCACTTCTTGGCAAGGAGTAATTCTTTCTATTTGTAAATTCTAAGAGGACATCTAACTTGATACAAACTTTGTGATAAGATGCGCTTTTAACTCAAATTCTTATGTTGGACAAGTGACAACCATCTCACAGCGTCATTTACACAGATTAGATTTTTAAAACACTGCAGAAAGCCGTGTCCTGGGCTGCGTCAGAAGGAGCATGGCCAGCAGGTCGAGGGAAGTGATTCTCACTCTCTACTCTGCTGTTGTGAGACCCCACCTGTAGTATTGTGTTTGGCTCTGTGGCCCTCAGTACAAAGAGGGACATGGACCTGTTGGAGCAAGCCCAGAGGAGAACCATGAAGATGCTCACAGAGCTGGAGCTCCTCTCCAATGGAGACAAGCTGAGGGAGCTGGGCTTGTTCAGCCTGGAGAAGAGAAGGCTCTGGAGAGACCTTATTGTGGTCTTTTACTACCTAAAGAGAGCCTACAAGAAATCTGGAGAGGGACTTTTATAGAGGAATGTAGTGACAAGACAAGGGGCGTGGCTTTAAGGTGAAAGAGGGAGATTTAGATTACATATAAGGAAAAAAATTCTTCACTATGAAGGTGGTGAGACACTGGAGCAGGTTGCCCAGAGAAGCTGTGGCAGCCCCATCCCTGGCAGTGTTCCAGGCCAGCTTGCATGGGGCTTTAAGCAACCTGGTCTAGTGGAAGTTGTCCCTGCCCATGGCAGGGGGCTTGGTGCCAGATGACCTTTAAGGTCCCTTCCAACCCTTCTGTGATTATCAAATCCTGTGTTGCTGTTTTGCAGAGTTGTTCAGACTTCCCCAGACCTAGTAAGTCAGCTTGGTTCTAGTTACTCCACTGGTGTTGCAGCATCCATGTTTTCCTCCTAAGAATTGTTCTTAATGGAAGTTTACTATATTCTCTTTTGCAAGATTCATGGCAACACATAATTCTGCATAGATTTAGCATAACTTCTCTTGTATATAAGTGACTGAGATTTGTTCTGTTTATGGGTATAGAAAAGGCATTACTTTCTTCAGTGTATTTTTTGGGGAAAAGGAGTAAAATGGCTGGAGGATATGTTTCTTTGTAATGATAAATGAGTTCAGAATGCAGCTGCAAAACAGCACCATATTCTGATTCTAGTTGGCTGTGAAATTTGTCATAATTAGTAAGGCTTAGAGATTGTTTCAGTCAGTAAATTTGGCTAGAAGTATGATTTATCTAAAGAGGTAAAGGGAGTGAGGAAGGTTTAGGAAGAAGTGTGAAAGAATACTTCAAGATCTGGAGTTCATTCTCAACATATTTTTAGTAAATTATATTATGGTTTCAAAATTTCAAACATTTTTCATCTATTTTAGTGCTTAGTAGTGAAGAAAATGAACTAAAGCATAACTGTCACACCTGTTCGATGCTCAAAAATAACATTCTTCAAGATGATTTAACTTCATGAAGATTTGATAGAATGTTTCATATATAGGGTATTTCATATTTTCTTTATGGAGACTATGAGCTGAGTTTATGGGATTGGAATAGGTCACCTGGGCCATGAGGTCTAGTAGATGCAGTCATAGTCAACCAGTTAATTGAGGTTCAGTTAAGAGAGACTACAGGAAAGTTCCAGCTATGTGTCCTCTTCCCTGCCTTTCTTTGCATTCTTGCACATTCGCACCCAGATGCATCTATATACCTCATGTAAGTCTCTAATATTACCAAGATCCTGGGGAAAAAGTAAGAGCTTTCATACAGAAGATCAGGAGTTTAAAAATGTGGAGTGCAGCAAGAGACACCAGAGCGATGTCAGGTAAACATGCCAAAAACATTTCAGTAGCTGAATCAAGTCCCCACTGCAGAGGAAGCCAACAGCTGTGTTAGGACCTTAACAGTAGCATCCTCTGAAGATGGTGAAAAATAATGAGCCTTGAAGTGGTTTATTCAACGAAATGTAACACTGTAAACCAACTTTGCTTCTTTCCCCAGATGCCACCTGAATGACCTTGAAAATATTGTCCCCTTTTTTGGCATTGGACTGCTGTACGCTCTTAGTGGCCCTGAGCTGTCCTCAGCCTTGCTGCACTTCAGGATCTTCACTGCGTGTAGGATCATTCACACTTTTGCCTATTTGATCCCTCTTCCCCAGCCCGGCAGAGGTTTGTCTTGGGCAGTTGGGTATGTGGTGACCTTCTCGATGGCATACAACGTTATGAAGTCAGTGCTGTACCTGTAGCAGAGTCATAGCTTCTGTGTACCGTTTGACATTCCATATGAAGTTTCCAGCAGTGTATGTTGGTATCTTGAATGAGCCAGCATTCTATAGTGACTGGAATTCACTTTTTAACAGAGGCCTTTCTTTCCTGTTCAGAAATACTTGTTTTTGGAAGAAGAAAAAAGTCTTTCTTTCTGTATTCCCTATTCATGGGCTGCATTGCCAAAATATTAGATTGAGGGCTCCCTTTGCAATTTGTCAAGTGCTTACAATTCTAAACATGCGATGATGCTGTATTGATAGCATGTGTGGTAATTTTCTACAGATGCACTATTTTTGGCTGTAGCTCTGAAGTCTAAATCAATAAAGACAAGAGGAAAAATAAGCTTGTTTGTATTTTTGTTTTCATTTTGACTCTTCTCACTGCAGCCAGCAAATAGCATGTCACTATATATCAGGAAGAGATTCCAATCATACAGTTCTTTGAAGAATGCTTACCTTAATAATAAGATATAACCAGTAATGCTAGGCTTGTTGTAAAAAATCTTTGATGAAATTGTTGTTTGTATAATCCACTTTGGGATTAAAAAACCCAAACCGTTGCAGCTCCATTTCTCTCAGTTGAATAGATAAAAAAAGTATTTGGGCTAAACTCTGTTTATTGGCATGGGTGAAAATTTAAAGTAATTCTTTTTGTTGAAGTTTATCTGGTCACAAAACCTGTGTTTGGATTAAGTGTAGGCACTTTGTAGAAGGTTTTTTTTAGTTATTTTATTTTTTAATAAATTCAGCATAAAGTAAGCAACACTTGCAAATGTATCAAGTAATTCAGATGTGAATATATAATTAGTTTGCATGTCATAGTGTCATAAATATGCTGCTGATAGAAAATTTTGCATTTAGCTTGTATCTTTCTATGATGTGTTAATTTGAAATATTTTCTTTAAAGACTTTAGTCTTTTTTTTTGTTTTGTTTGTTTCTTTTTGTAGCTGTGGCTTAGATAATAGCTCAAGATTTCAAGAAAAAGAAATACCCAGGAGAGTCTCAATCTCCAATGTGTTTACCCTTGAAAAGTTTTGAATGGCAGAAGTCAGAGCGCAGCGTTTGGTTTACTTTTCTATCCCAGAAGCTGTGCTGCGAAGGGATAGCCCAGAGAGGAGCTGGAGAATTCTCTCTGCTGCCTCTGTATGCCAAAGGGTTTGCTTTTCTTCTTGCACGGAAGAAGTAATTGTAGTACCACAAGAAACATCACAAGAGGGCCTACCTGTCTACCCACAGTTGTGAGATGGAAGCTCATGCAGTGCTATGTTAGGCTGTAACTGAGAAGGGTAGCAGAAAGAGTCAGGAAAGGTGCAGCAATACTGGTTTAATCCAAAGAAGGGAGATTTTTATTGCATTTCAAGGGTAGTGTTTAAGTTATGTCTACTGAAGAAGAGAGGGATGGGACTTGAAATCAAGAAGTTAACATTGGTTTACTAGAAATTAAATCTAACTAATGAATGAAATAACAAACAGCTGGATCCTCTAGAAGGAGATGGTTAAGAGAGGAGGTTTAAAAGTTGAACATTGTGGAGCTTCAGTTCCTGACATGGAAGTGTAAGCACATACCAACACTTCCGGGTTACCAGGGACTCCAATGGGAAACAGGGGCATTCTTGTTTCTGCTCCTCACATCTTTCTCCACCACTTCGTTACCTGTGCTGTTTTCCTCCTATTTCTTTTTTCTCTGCTAGCTTTTCATGGGATCTTGAGACCAGCTACTTTGGACTGTATAATGGTAACAAGGTAAGACTGGCCACTGGCTCTTCCTGGCCTGAGAAGGACTGGTAATGGAGGGAGAAGGGGTGAGGCTGCAGCCTTGGGTTGGAGCCCAAACCAATTGTCATAGTCAACCTGCCAGCTCAGATTGATCAGTATGTGGATATTCTTGACTCCTTATATTATGATACCAGTATCTAAAACTGTATTTCCCTCCCTTCTTTGTAGCTTGCCTCTTTTTTTTCTAGCTCTGTGTCTTTCTCTACATTTAAAACAATGGGAAAGTAGCCACCATGGGCAGAAGGGCCCGCTTGAAATTCAGCACCATTGAGAAGGCCCTTCTGACAAGCCTAGTTGTCATTGCCAGATATATGCAGGAACAGCATTTTTAACTTCTTTTTGCATCAAACTTTCATACAGAAATATCATTCTGAAGAAAAATACGTGGAGCCTGTCTTTATTTCTGTGATCTTACATTTGAAACAAAACTAGTTTTAAATCCCTTCTGCTTGCTCAGTGGTTTCATACACTCACTATGTGCTAAGAAGTAGAAAAGACAAACTGAAACCCTTAGAAATACCTAGAGTGGTTCAATATTATTCTGTGTTTCTCTTGTATTTATTTTAAACCTATATTTTATTTTCCTTTGCTCCCACAAATACCATCTGTGCATCTGGGTGGGGTACGTGCTCAATCTGGGAAATCTGGTTTACCAGCTTTAGTCCAACTCTGACTGCCAGCTCTGTGGAAGTGTGTTGAAGTCAAACAGCTCTTGCATTTCTCCAGGCCATTCTGTAGAGAAGTATACTGTACCTGTTGTACAGCTGTAAATTTTAAAAGGTTAGCTTATTTTCAGGAGAACTAATAAAGGAAAATGAATGTATTAGTTGAACGTATTACTGAGCTAAGCTGAATTTTCACCTCCTAAAACATGCACATGTGGATTTTGGACTGCTCTTATCAGGTTCTGTTACAAAATCATTAAACAAAGTAATCTGTAACTCTGATGAAGGGACTGGCTGTTATCAGCAGGTATGCTACTTTTGACCTAGTGAAAGCACAAGAAAGGGTCGTCCATGTGAGACATACAAAATGAAGTCAAACCAACATCTTCTAGGCTTCATTTCTGTTCCTTGTGCTTGTTATTCCCACCACTAGTCTTAGGTGAATGAAAAAGCTACAGGTCTTCTTCTCTCTGCCAATTATTCCTGGCATTTTATATTCTTACTTCTCCAAAGTACTTTGTGTATCTTTGAAATGGCTCTAATACTTGACCATGAGGTACTTTAAAATGCTAGCTGACATAGCCTGCCTTAGCTGATTTTGTCTCTGAGTGAATTTCATGGGCTGCTTCATTTTCAGAAGTGTAAACATATAAGCAATTCCTCAGTTTATTTTTTGACTCTATGAGTAAATGCTTATGTGGCGTATAGCCTGAGTTACTTTGTCCCGGTTCTCATGGCTGCAGACAATTGTGTTGAAGGCAGGTATGCTTCTTCCCAGTTACTTACAGAAAAAAATTCAATTTAGATTTTTGATGGATAGTGCTTGTAGTGTATGTCCTTTCTAAAAAACAAAAAAGCAAAAGCAAAACTTTAAAAATACCCTTCTAAAAGTAGCTATAACGTTGTCTGTTATTAATCAAACTAACATGGTTTTTATTTCAGGGCTGAAGTTTAGGAAGAACTTTTCTCTTTTCCAAAACTTGTCCTGGCGACTGAGGTGACACATCAAGTGCTTTGTGAAAGGTTGTATTAACATACATTAAAATAACTCTCATGATTAAATATCTCCAGCTGTTGGACACTTAGAAAAATGCATCTTTGGGATTCATTTTAAGTGATTTTTTTTCAAAATTCAGAGTCTTTATTAGTAGCTCCCCCTCAAAGATTTTGAAGGCTAAAATCGATCATTAGCTCCTTCAGCCTGACCTCTAGTGGAAAACATGCCATGGAATGACTGCCCTTCTGCTGAGATGAGTTTAATCATAGCACGACTTCCAGAAGAGTGTGTGATCTTCATTCAGAGACTTTGGGAGACAGGCATTGACTCTTTTCTATGACATTGTTTCTCTCTGGAATATATGCACACTAAACTTAATCTTTAAAAACAGTATAGGTTCTTTTTGTTGGCTTTGTTGTTTGCTTTTAGGTTTGTTTTATTGTTTTGTTGTAGGGTTTTTTTTATTTGGTTTTGGTTTTGTGGTTTGTTTTGTTTGTTGTGTTTTTGTTTTTTTTTTTTAATCAAGGCATTTATTATTAAATTATTGCAGTGCAAGGAGGAATATGAAATATTTTAAACAGGTACTTTCTTCCTAGAAAGCACTCTACTCCTGTAAACTCTTGGAAAGGCAAAAATTTAGAGCCCCTTTCCATGTGTAAAAAAAATACTACTATTTTAAAAGTGGGTGTGAGAAATGTGAGATATAATGCCTGAAGTATTTTTCTGTATAATAGTGCTAGTTAAGCATTCTTAGGAATATATGTTATGAATATGCAGTCATGGGAGAGTATTCTGCACAAATGCTTGCAACGTATGAAGTTGTAACCATAATCCTATGTCATGAATCCTGTAAGAAGTGTTACAGTGATGTAGGGCATCCCTTGCTAGCCTGGAGTGAAGCATCTTGAAGGGGATGCTTATAGAAGAGTGGAAAATAACATCTCCAGCACACTTTCTTCAAAGCCTACTGAGTTGTAATATGGGCAGGGGAATGGTGGCTGACTGCGATTAACTACTCAGCATCCATGCCTTGACACAGCATTCCCAAGTACTGACCTGCATGCCAGGTGGCTGCTTTTGCCATGGAAACACATTTAAAAGTAACTTCTTTTTATCCATTAAAGGACACTAGCAGTGGCCGTATAATCTGCACAATTGAATGTTTTTATATCTAGCTCTTTGCTAGACTGACTGCATCTTTCTTTTATTCTACATCTTGCATGCACTGGTGGACTTTTGAGAGAGCTAAGAAGAGGAAGTTGCAAGAAACCCGTCTTTTTAAGAAAAAGTCTTTGTCTCATGGGTACTGCTGTCCAGTGAGGGGGAATAAATTTAGAAGTTAGTGTCAGTGCTGCAGAAATAATAAGGGGAGGGAGGGGGACGGACTGAAAGAAAGGAAATACTTTAATAGTAGCTTAGCACAGCATCAAGGAGCAAACTGGATGAAGACTAGTAGATGAAGCGTTGTAAGGGAGGCAAGTAGCTTTCTGCTTCTGTGGCCACCTTACTATCCCTATTTAAAATAAATTAAGGAAGTTTA